TACATTATTATTATTATTACTGCAGATGGAAATACATCTTTTGCTGTTGTTAACTCTTCTCAATTCAAGACTAATTTGACCCATTCTGATTATTTTCAGCCCCATATTTTTAATTTTACTCACCTTTGCATGTTTCATGGCTGAAAATAATCCTTCAAAATTATTCTGCCTTTAAGGCAATTCCCTTAAGTTAAAGCTAAAGCTACCGCTTTCTGAAGCTAGTCTTCAGAAATACTGAACATATTACAATAAAATTATCCATCAATCAAAACTAAACCTCGGTTCTAATCAGACCTTGAATCTTGGCCTGCTTGTACAGCAGTACCAGACGATCTGTTTCAGGTGGAGGCGCCTCGGCAGGCTCCATGGTTGGATCAAACAGGGGCAGCATCATGGCTGCCAGGTCCTGGCCCACTTCCTTGGAGTTAAAGTTGGCATGTGTCCACTCATCTATGTAGTAACGGCGGGAGAATTTGGTGAGAGGCCCGGCAGCCCAAATGGACAAATTGGTGGTTCTGAAGCTGGAGTTTATGACAAGCCTGCCATCAAATACCAGGAAGGACTTGTTGAAGCTGTTGAAGGCGTCGTAGTCGACTCCTTTATTGGAGAGGTTGATGAACACCTGAAAGGACAAAAAGAGCCATCGTGTCTCGAGGTGGAATCTTTATTGGATTCACACTTTACACGATCCAACATTTACCTGATGTTTTTACCTTTCTTCTTTTATGTATATATATCTGATAAATACGAGCTACAGATGGGGAACAAACTGGGGGCAAGTCTTTGTAAGAACAGAGGAGTCGACCCCTGCTGGCCACTACAAAGAATGCAGGTTAAAAGCCACAGCTTCACTTTGCAAACACAAAACATACACATCCATTTTTTAACATATTCTGTCTGTGCTTGAAATTAAACTTCCCAAATTAAGATGATAAATATAAGATGGCTCTCGAGTGGTGAGGCTTTCAGGAAACTAAATACTGACACAGATGATTATTCATCCTGAAGTCCACAAGCTGCTCAGAGTCAAGAGGGCTGAGTGATGAAGCTGCGATGACAAACCCATGATGTGTTCTTTGAAAAAACAAAACTCTGGAGGTGGAATAAAATTGTCATTTATTAAACTTATAGGTACTTTGGGGTTTTGCATTCACTGTTTTCCTAAATAGTTGCGTGTCTGTCTTCCACAGCATGTGAAATACACACAGATTAATGACAACAGGACCTTGCACACAGCATAATTTTAACAAGAAAATTCAACACAAACCCAGAAGCAGAATCATCTTCTTTCTGAGACAATGGAAGTCATGGAAATGGGAAACACACCAACATCATTTTGTGCTTGACAAACACAGTTTGCTTCCAGGAGGGAAATTAACATCCAACCAAGAGCCACAATCTGGAGAATTCAGCCGCTCAAGCTTTTCCAGCTCTACCAGGCACCTTGGCCAGTAACCCACCATTGTTTGGATATCATTTCTTTTTGTAAGAATTAATAACCCGTCTGGATGAGCACTGAAAGCATCCGGTGGATTTTGAAAGCATCAGAAATTCTGACTTACTCCACACTGCAGATGGAGAGGCTCTGCATCAGTGGTAAACGATGCCGATGTAAGCGGGTCGGGTTGTTTGCCATTGTTAAACTGGGCCAGCACACAGTTACGGTGGATCTGGACCATGGCGTTCTCCATGGCCATCGCCACGGCTTTTTCTACAGATGAGTCCAAGAAGCTGGAGACGCCTGGCTCAGGAGGCAAGAGGACAAGATGGATACGAGATCCACGAATGCCGAGGCTCAGCAGAGTCTCTACGGTGGTGTAGATGTCGATGTTGTTTCCGTAGACGATGGCATTATCTGAGAAGACGCAAACAAGGAAACACAAACCTATGTTAGGTTTGGCAGAAAAGTGAATTCCTCTTAAAAAACATACATAAACATTCATTGTTTATGTGAGGTGGTTAATGGTTAAAGTTACTGGTTAAAGTTACTAAGCCGCATGATACACCTGCATAAATATGAGTACTTGGCCGTTTTCCTACGTGAACTTTGGACGGCTTCAGGACAGTCAGGTCGGGAATTTTTTTTATCACATGTAGCACACAGGAGGAAATAACCAACTTCACAAATACTCACATGATGCAGTAAAAGCACCAAAATATTGGTCAGTATTTTTATTGAAAACTGTGTGAGTCAACCCAAAGTGCAAAAAGGACCAACAGAGAAGGCAGTGCACATGACTGCAAGAGAAACACAAAACATGATGATGACCAAATCATGAAAATCACATAAAAGAGAAATATAATGAACTGATAATATAAAAATAACAAAATAAACAAACACAGAATTAGAGAAAAATAAAAGAATAAGACAAAAATCATTGTTGAAATGTTGACAGTGGACTTGGGCATGAAGTGGTCTTCACTTAGACGGCAATAACAATAACAGAAGAAGCCCGATCAGCTTCTATTTCTATGCAAGAGGTTGGACTTGGAGGGAGAATATGATGTTAACATATTGTGGAGCAGATCTACGGCAGGCTTTAAAAACAAACAGGGATAAACAACTGAGAGATTATAAAAACACGGAAAACTTTTTCTATGTCCTTAAATTGTCTCAGCGATGGTTTAAACCAGGGGTGTCAAACTCAAATACACAGTGGGCCAAAATTCAAAACTGGAACAAAGTCGCGGGCTAACATTAATATTTATTGAAAAAAAAATCTTCCTCCAGATATAAGAATGAATCTTTTCTTATGGACTCATACTAAACAATATATATATTAGCTGTATAATACCAGTAGGCCAGCTCTAATAGTAATTTGGTATGGCTTCGCGGGCCAGAGTTTGACATCTATGGTTTAAACGATAAAAGCTGCTCTTCATGACATGACAGACCTCACTGTTAAAAGGCAAGAAACTATCCATAAAACACACACTAGCTGCTGTATTCACACTCAGCAAAACTTGACCTACAAAGTTTTATATTACTGCAACATTTATTGAGAGCTTATAGTGGCACAGTTGTTACCTTCCACTCTGAAATCTGTGAAAAATCAGCCGCTGTCCCTTCATTAATGACAGACATGAAACGTGATGCATGAGAGGACTCAGATCCAAACAAAAAACTGCAGTAACAGCTTTCTGAAAACAAAAAATGAATTTACATGCATTTTTCTCCATTTAGGAGCTCTTGTATGTTTTTCTGATTGTGAGCACAACAGATGTTATTGTCCAAAGATACAATAAAAATAATCTCTCTTTTTCAAACCAATGTTTTCCAGTCTACAGACAATAGCTCAGTCTGCTCAGGTTTCACAAACGGCCTTGGAAACGAAGGGAAAAGCTACGCATTGTTCTACAAGAGGCCCTCGGCTTGCTGAACTCTGAACCACAGATACACAAGGACAAATGAGAGCATCTGAATGAGTTTTCCTTGTACTTTAGCTCCTCGTGCTTTGCTGTTTGTAATGGACAGCACCTCGACCGCAGGACCTTCATTCCAAAGGTCCGACAGACAAAGAGAGCACAAACTGAAACTTTATATGTGCGTGAATTCATGGCAACTCACGTAAACAGAGTATTCCTAGTTATACTAAAACTAAGCTAACAGTGAAAAATCCTTTCATTAAAATAACAATACAATTTTTTTGAAAAGAGAGAACGGGTGCTTACAAAAGATTTTTTTTGGGGGGGGGGCATTTATATGATTATCTTCAGTTTGCAAATATGTTTTTTGCAAATGTAACAAATAAATAACAGATCAAAACAACTGCCTGCTGTCCAGTGAGCCTGTGACTGTGTGGATGGACTCAAACTAAGCTAAGACCTCTCAGAGAGTGGACCTGACCAGTGAATTGTGTGATATGGAAATACAACCTTAGAAGGCATCGAGTTAACCGATGCCTTCCAAATCATGTTCAATTGAATACTCTTACAGTTTTTGTTCCTGTTTCATGCAGGTCACCGGTGAAAATATAATTTAATTACAGAGGTTAAAACTTTAAAAAAAAGAGGGAGCAAAAGTAACAAATAACAGCCCTGAACCTAATGTGAAAAAAGGCTGGAAATACAAAAAACCTGAACTACAGCAAACCATAAACGCACTTTGATCAATAAATATTGCTCATAATCTTGACTTACATCTCGACAAAATCAGATCTTATTACAGAAGCGTGATGTTTTGAGTTCAGCTCTGGCTTTACCAGCCGAAAAATCAAAGCTTATCAGCAGGTTATGGCGTGAAATAAAAAACACAATGTTAATTAACATTTACATGATCTGTGTGACTTGTCAGTTTTGTTGATGGTTTCAGTGAACGGTGGAATGATGTGTCAGTATGAATTATGGGATGTTATTATCTCCTTTCCTGTCATGAAAGATGGTTCAGCTGCAGGAGGTAATAAAGGAAGCACAGAAGCACCTTTCCTTAGTAACAACAGAATTCAAACAGCTCTTATTGTGGCTGCCACACCTCTGGGTCACTTCACTCAGTCATGAACCTTCCAAAGGCTATTCAACTGCACCTTGACTGTGAAGAAAAACAGCTAATGCTACTGTGTTATCTGAGGTAGCTTTTTTTCCATCATCTGTCTCTCTGTTATTAAACCAAAGTAAGGTCACATTGACCCAGTGGTCTTAGCTAATTATAGGCCAGTCTACTCTTGAAAGAGTAGTTGTAAAGCGCTACCTGAAACTTGACTGAAACTCTTTAAATAAGCCATTCCTCTGCAGAAGATCAGAGCTCATCACAGTACAGAAACAGCTTTGGTCAACGTTACAATCTTCTTATGGCCTCTGACAGTGGACTCATCTCTGTGCTTGTCCTGCTAGACCTTCGCAGCGTTCGATACTATTGACCATAATATCCTATTAGAACAATTATAGCATGCTGTAGGTATTACAGGTACTGCGCTGCAGTGGTTTGTATATCTATCTTATTGATTCCAATTTGTTCATGTAAATGGAGAGTCCTCTTCACACACTAAGATTAATTATGGAGTTCCACAGGGTTCAGTGCTAGGACCAATTCTGTTGACATTATACATGCTTCCCTTAGGCAATATCATCAGAAGACATAGCATACATTTTCACTGCTATGCAGATGACACCCAACTTTATCTATACATGAAGCCAGAAAAAACACACCAATTAGTTAAACTGTAGGAATGTCTTAAAGACAATGACGTGGATGACCTCTTATTTTCTGATTTTAAATTCAGATAAAACTGAGGTTATTGTACTCGGCCCTATAAAATCTTAGTGTCTTACCAGACATTTAATCTAGATGGCATTACCTTGGCCTCCAGTAACACTGTGAGGAATCTTGGAGTCATTTTGACCAGGATATGTCCTTCAATGCACATATTAAACACATATGTAGGACTGCTTTCTTCCATTTGTATGATATCTCTAAAATTAGAAATAGCCTGTCTCAGAGTCATGCTGAAAGACTAGTTCATACATTAATTACTTCTAGCTCGGACTACTGCAATTCATTATTATCAGGGTGTCCTTAAAACTCCCTGAAAAGCCTTCAGTTAATCAAAAATGCTGCAGCAAGAGTACTGACAGGGACTAGAAAGCATATTTCTCTTCTCTATATTGGTTTCTCTTCATTGGCTTCCTGTTAAATACAGAATCAAATTGCTGGGGTTATCTCTGTATTACTGTTGAATCTTTATCTAACAATATAAAGTGCCTCAAGGTGACTGTTTTTGTGATTCTATTTATATATTTATATATATTCATATTATTATATTGCGATATAATTAAAACTGAATTGAAGTTGCTACATTTAATCTGCTTTTAGTATAATCTGAGGCAAGTTCAGAAATGCCTTTCTTGTCTAGTTTTATCAGCACAGGAGGGGTTGAAGGCTTTCACGGGCTGCTGTTCATGGCCTCTGTCCATGGTACTGAATGAGAGCAGCGGTAAGATGAGTTAGATTTATATAAGTCATGATCACATGCTGCTAATATCATTGCTATTGACAGTAAAGAGCTTACACAAACACAGTAGTTTGTTTTGGAAAACTACCACATACTCTGACCATCTCACACAAATACACAAAATGCAGCTAGGAGTGGTTGGGAGTGTTTTATCAGCTGAGCTCCTTTGGTTGCTATGATACACGATATCCACAAAAGTAAAGTGTTGCATGAACTCCACTCCACCTGACTGCTGCTTAACTGTTACACCCACAGGGAAACAAAATGCCACTTTAATCATGATCTTCCGTATAATTACTCTGGTAGTTTGGGGATTTAATTTTGCTACAGGCAGTACTGACGTCTCCTCCATTGTTGCTTAGCATTCAATGGTTGGACAATGTAGTTTTTGTCTTGCCCCTCCTAAACTGTGATTGAACAGCTGGGTTTTCCCAGAAGGTCAAACATGTTCAACTTTCGGTGACCATAAACATAAAAAAAAAATTAAAACTTTCCCTGCTTCTGAGAAAAAACCAAAACAACACAAAAGACACTGTAAACAGACCCTCAGTCATCAAACATCGATTAGTATGCACAAAAAATAGATCCCGTTAAATGCAGTCTTTCCCTCTCATTGGATGTGTTTTTCCTAATTTTGTGAACACACTAATACGTTCAGTTAGCATGTCAGCTTTAGGATTTCTGTCATTGCACATGTTCATATGGCTTCATGAATTCATAAATATCACAATATGTTGTTTTGTTACTTGGAAACAAAGGAAACATTATATTTAATAGCTTACAGCTGCACATGCTCGTTTCGTAAATATTAATTGTCATGTTCATGCAGGACACATTAGTTATATAAACAACTGTCCCTGCTGACATCTTTGTGAAGTGCTAATAATCTCTGTGTTGGTGGAAATGAACCGAGCATGTTATATTAAAAATGATACCATTTGCATGAACATTGCTGGAGCAGGATAATAAAATGTTTAAAGATCAACTGTAATGTTTTTTTTTCTATTTTTGTTGGATTTGTGGTAAATCAGAGAAACTTCCCTGCAGTCGAAGGCTGAGATTTACATACACTCTTTGTTTTCCTTCTGTTGTTATTATTAAAATATGGAAATAAACATGGTATCTGCAAAGGTCTGTCTCTGCAATTTGCATGTATTAATGGTTTTCCTTTATGACTGGAATCAGCTAATTAGTATGTATAAAAGCCTCACTCTAGATCACTGCACAATTCCTTCAGAGAGCAGATTAATTTTGCTTAATGACACTGTGCATTTTCCCTGCTCTGAAAAGCCCGGCTCTCAGAAAGTGATATGATAATGGAAAATGGATGGAAGAGGCCGACCTGATTCACGGAGATGAAAGATTTCTCTGCAGCTAATTAGCTGCTAATTATACCGGGCCACTTCAGCAGCGACTGGCTGAGTAATGACATACTACTACAGATTAATTTTAGGTGTTCTGTGTGTGTGTGTGTGTGTGTGTGTGTGTGTGTGTAGGCGAGGCTTTCCAGTTACCCTCCAGCTCCAAAAAGTTGGCACAGAGCCAGCGGCGAGCAGCCATGCAGTCGTGGAGGTCGTTGAGGGTGAAGAGGTTGGAGGGCACGGGCCCAGTGTATCTGCTGTGAGTGGAGTGCAGCTGGCTGTTTGTGACAGGCTGGCTCACATCTACACCAGTGGGACACGGTACCTACACACACACACACACACACACACACACACACAAAACAAATTAAATTCATTTCTTTAACTTCTTACATTTCAGTCATACAATAGCAAACAGTTAAAAGGAGACATCATGAAAGGAATGCTGTGTGTCACCATTATGTGCAAAGTGTCCTTCAGCATTGACAACAATCATATAACAAGACAGTGTGACAGACCTGCTGTCATGGTCCGAAGGTGTGGGGATGTTCGTGAGCTTTGGTTCTTTTATATTTATTGATTTGGATCACTGTTTTGATTTTATTCTCATGCTGACAATGTTTTTTATTTTTTGTGAGCTTTAAATTAAATCATTGAGTTCTGGTCCCTGTTTTTCATTCCATTGTTGTATTAATCTCCCCAGTCTGTTCTCTCCCCTCTCTCATGTATGTGCCTTCTTGGTTAAACTTTCCCTGTTTATTCTGTCTTTTGTATGTTTCCTGTTTTACTTTGACAGTTGGCTTTTTCTTGTGTGTTGTCTATAGTTTTAATTCCTGTCTTTTTCCTGCCCATTTCTTAACCTCAGGTCAGAAACAAACATTTTGTTGTTATTTTACCTGTCTAAGTGCTGCAGCTGTGTCCTCTGTGTCAGCTTTAAAGAGCTATAAATAGTTTTTTTCTCCTCTTAAAGTTAGAACTAAATTATAATGCCAAAGGAACATCGATGACACAAGGACGTCATATTATGTTATTGTTTTTTGTAACTCAGGTATGGCTCGAGTGTAGTCTGTGAATTCTGTTGATGCTTAAGCAAAAAAAAAAAAACTACTGAAAACACAGCACTTTATTAGGGACACCTCTGCTATCTAATGCAGTGAAATACAACTGTTTTATGATTAAAAACACTTCTCTAAAGCTCATGCTTCAATTTTTGTTGAATTTATAAAAAAAGTTGATCATTCTGATTCATGGTTATTAGTGTGTGTGTAGTGGGGGTGGTGCAGGTGGATGTGACTGCATTGTAATGAGATGTTTTCTGCTATTTTCTCTAACCAAACAGCACACATAAGTCGGAAATATTTTTCACCCTGTTCACACTGCAGCAACAGCTCTGCAGTCAGAGGAAAGACTTTTTACAACTCACATTAAAAGAACCAATCATCTCACCCGATACTGCAGGCCAGTACAGAGTATGAGGTGGTCGTAGGGCACCTTCTCCCCACTGGACAAGAGGACGTATTTGGACTTCCTTCTGATGCCCACCAACTTCCCCGTCACCACACTGATGAAGGAACGCACTGGGATCTGGGCCAAGTCTCTGCTGCTGTAGGCATGACTGCATGAAGATGAGAAGAAGAAACTTAAACTAATAGAATTATTTAATGCTAATTTTCTAATACAAGCCTCCACAATGATGATGATGCACTTTCAGTTAGAAATCTGTATTTTTAATATGCTGGCCGGTCTCTGGCACAGAATTCGGCTCAATTTAAAAAGAAATGTGTTCAAATGTTCTTAATGTTTGTGGAAATCACGGTTGAAAATCACCACTGAAAGTATTCTGACTGGCTGCATCACCACTTGGTATGGCAGCTGTAATGCTCTGGACCGCAAAGCTCTGCAGAGGGTGGTGAGATCAGCACAGCGCATCATCAGGACTGAACTGCCAGCCATGACGGATCTCTACAGACAGTGCTGCATGAGGAAGACACAGCGGATCCTCTCTGATCCCAGCCACCCCAGCCACAGGCCTTTCACACTCCTGCCGTCCGGCAGGCGGTTCAGGAGCATCCAGACCCATACTACCAGACACAGGGACAGTTTTTACCCACAAGCCATCAGACTTTTGAACTGCTGACATTCCATACACACCACTACATACTCACTACAATTACAGGACTCTGCACACTGTCACTTCAACAAATGCTACTTAAATGCTCACTGCACAACTTTGTACAACCTGCAGATACTCTTGCACAAACTTGTAAATACCAACTTGTCTTAAATGTAAATACCAACTAAATTCTCTAATATTTAATACTTTTTTCCTCTCCTTTTTATTGTTGTTATTATTATTATTTTATTTTTTTTTACTACCACTGCTATTTTCTGTTATTTTCTTCTCAATATAACTGCACACTCTCTATATGCTCATGTAAAGCTCAGGAGCACGAGCCAAAGAATTTCATTATGGATAAATGTGGTTACAGTGTTTATCTGTACATGACAATAAAACTTGAAACTTGAAAACGTGTACAAGAATCTGCAAATGTGTCTGATTCATTAATGTGAAAGAGGTTGCCTCACATAGTGGCAAATAGCATTGCTTTTAAAGTTTCTTTCATAATATTCTGAAATAATAATAATGTCATGTTGCGTTTACATTTTTCCTTCTAAAACACTGTTTTTAACTGAGTTTAATTACACTTAAAATAATCACACACTCTGATGCTTTTCCAGCTGTCTGATGGTATGTCGATATATATCCAACATGTTTGGGAATGCAAGATGGCACGACAAGGTTTTCCATTTTCATGTGCATGTTGTTCTGTTCACTCACCTTGTGGAGAGAAATCCAGCGTCCTCGTGGTTGTAGTCGCCGGGGAAACCGTGTGTTGAAATGAGGGTCAGGCTGTTGAACCTCAGGTGAGGGCTGTGAGAGAACAAACAGCAGCGAAAAGCATGAGTGCTGTTCCACATAACGCCGTGAACACACAGTGAGAGGAGGACGCTGGGAAGGACTTCACAACTTTTGGAAACGCAATCACTGAAACATAAAACTCATGTTACTACTTTAAGTGTGTGAAACTGGAAATTCTAGATAACACTTTGTACATTTTTATACAGTTTGTGTTTTTTTATACTGTTTATTTCAATCATTGGGACTTTATTCACCCCCATCTGATAGTATTTACCAGGCTGCTCTGGTTCACAATTGATTCATCGGCCAGCCACGATTTATTATTCTTTACCTCCCACCACATTCCCTATTCCTAAACCAGACTGAAGGGGCTTCTTTGTGCATGGCTATGGAAGGTGTGTGACCCTTGTCCTCCAACAGTGGAGGATGCATGCGGAGAAGCATTCTCTCCAGAATATTCTTTTTTGGCTTGTCGGCCACAGTGAGCACTGCTTGTGATGTAGAGGTGGTTTGGCCAGACTGAACAGCAGGCGCCATGCTGCCCAGTTATTACAGTCTTTACATTTATATATATATATATATATATATATATATTTGTGCAGATATATGTTTGTGAAAATGAATAAGGCATGAACTTGCTGATCAGTGTGCAGCAGTGTATTGTGTTGAACAGATCATTGTGTTGTTGGCTGGCAGGGAGAGCTATTTATATGCCGGTGTGTGTGGGCCGTTTTGATGCACACACAAAAAAAAGAAATAGAAAAAAAATAACATTTTTGAATTGCATTTTGGGTTTTTATGTTTAGACTTTTGAAAAAATCAGCCAAAGATTCAGAAAATGTGTGTAAACTGTTGAAGACTGTAATTTCCATTTTGTCCACAGGTGTATAAAAACATTTAGAAAAGCAGACTAAAACTAGCCACAAAAAGAAGAAAATATGGAATAAAAGTCATAACTTGATATAGTGATGATTTTGTGTTACGGGAATATAAGGCCAGGTAAAGAATCATAGATAAGCTAAGACAACAAAGCCTTTATTGGTCCCACAGTTGGGAAATTCAAGGATACAATGACACAGTTGACATTTTAGATGCTGAGTAGCAGCAAAATGGAAGTGCAGTGGTTGGATAACAATAGCAGCAAGCACTGAGTATTGCATACTGAGCTATGAGCATATGTCTATTAACATGTTTACTTTTGACAAGAGTGAAGCTTTTTTATTTTTTCTCTACTCTTTCAACATTATTTATCCAGAAAGTTAGTTTACAGCACTCAAAGCTACCTTTATCGTAATGTTTAAATGTCTTGAACACCTGAGGAATAACAACCTTTCCATATTTCACTTACTCAGGCTAATCAGTCTTCTTCTCAGGTCTGTGTGGGTGTGTCACCACTGACTGACAGATGTTCCTGACATTCGCTTGTGGATACACAAACAGCTAAAGACACCTCGTAGCACACCTCTAGTATACTTTTGTTTAATTTAAGTATCCTCTGTGCTATCTAAGTGTAACAAAACTGCTTAACACCAATTTAACAATAACTAAACTATAACTAAACTTAAGTAACACTGAAACTGGGATGTTGTATAATGGGTCGTGGTTTTTAACCGGTTATTTAAATATGTATGCAGACACTGAAACTGCAATGCCAATATTAGACTGAAAAATGTTGCCTGCGTCTGAACAGACTGTTATCCACCTTTAACCTGAGAACACAAACATAGCAGAATGGTTTTATGAACTGAAACGGCGGTGCATTGAAACGTTGTCATGATAGCCCATCCTGCACCTTTAGCAGCTCATTTACTGCGGACACTGCGTTTTTAATACACTTGAGCTTGATTTAAAGCCGACTCCTGACACCATGGTCCAAACGAGAAAACAAGTTCTACAAAATAGAAACTATAACAGATCTGAATGTACTAAACTGAAAACAGCTATTTATACCATTGTCACACTGTCTGGTTTGGTTTTGTTTTTTTTTTTTGGGGGGGGGGGCTTTGTAAAGCTTGACAAACGTAAATTACACGGGCCTAAAAAAGCAGCTCAGGAGTTTAGCTTTAATTCAAAATTCAGTACACTGTTGAGATTACATATTATGGTGCTTTTACATAAATCATAAACCTTTTAAAATCCCTCTGTTTACCAATGTAGGCATGTTTACAAAGCGTAAACCTTCTCAGGTGCACATTCTCCAGCCTGCTGATGCGTTTGTGGTTCCTGAGCATGAAAAACCGGAGCCGTCTGAGCTCTTGTGAGTTTACTGTTGACAGTATAAACCATCTCTTGTGATGCAAATGGCCTCCTTTGTTGTGGCCGACAGGACATTACACAGCTGATAACAGCAGTTCCAGCTCCTACGCTCAGTGAATAGCAAAGTGTGTGTGTGTACCTCGCAGCGTCCAGCCTTATCACCCTGACACTCTGATCACCTCCTGCTCTGTTCTTATCTTTGCTTCCTGCTAAATTAACGCCCAGCGGCGCACATTGACAACACCAGACACCAAAATGCTGCTAAACCGATTGTACATGGGAAGGCTGTTGTTTCATATTAGTGAGCAGTTATAGCAGTAGATACATGCAGTGAGGCATGTGGTAAACACACGATGGCTGTGCTTGGTTCCTCATATTGAAGAGGTACTTTAAGGTTATATCTGGGATACAGGATTGTTACAGGACTAGAACTACAGCCAAATAACCAAAAACAGACTTTCCTGGGTGCTTATTTTACCTGTAAAATATTACAGGTACTATTAAATATCCTGCACCACAGCTCCACGGAGATAATAAACAGAAGCTGATTCCAAAGACACCACCTGGTCAGCTGAATGAAAATCTGCTTAGCACTTTGACGTGAGCCAAAAGTTGCTGGTTTGTATATAATGCTTTCATTAAATGACTCATTATACTGCACATTTTGTAAAGCTGGTCTCAGATCACACCTGTAGGCTGACTGCAGTATTAGTCATAAACCTTGCTGCTCCATCTTAGTGGGTGGTACTCAAATGCCAACCTATGGGGGTGGAAAAATGAGCGAAATAAGCAAAATTCCAGTTTTTATGAATCAGCATCCACACAAGACAAGCAAGTTGCTCTGTCACTGGCAGTTAGTTGCTAGCAGGCGTTCAATCTCCAGCTCACTAAAACTCTAATGTATTTACCACCTTGTCATATGTCGATTAATAGTGTCCATCACTTTCATTTACATTTTTCAGTCTCTCGGGATCTGCACACTTCACATTGGCAGTGATTATTTTGCCCATCACTGACTTTCTGCGGTTTCTGGTCCTCACAATAATACTGATCCTTTTCTTCGTGGACACCACATTACTTACACTAACGAGCAGGTAATAGTATGATAAAGTAGAAGAGGTCATCTACAAATCAGAAGGTTGGTGGTTTGATCCCTGGCTGCTCCTGTTAGCATGCCAAAGATACTGAACTATGAGTTAGTCCTGACATGTTGATTAAAATGTGAATGTTAGGCTAGGAAGCATTTAGGCATATAAAAAATGCTTGTGTTATTGAGGCTTGGGTATAAAGTTACTGCTATAACTGTAATTTGGGATGTGATAACTAGCAAGCTGAGAGACCTTCCATCTACTGAAGAAAGAAAGAAAGAAACAAAAAGGTAAAAATATAAATGATTTGATGAATCACCTAAAGTAACTTTTCTTTCCTTTAAGTTCTACATTACTGACCTGTAGATATTAGCATAATAAACACATTTCCCAGCAAACAATATTTATAGCTGGATCAGATAAAAATGCCTCCGTGCTTTGTGTCAGCATTGGTTTAAGCGTTGCTTTCTGACATGAACATGCGAATAATAACAACAACACAATAACACAGCAACAATCTGACAGCAACCACAGTCAAACTTTCTTGTCAATCCGTGCCAGAAGATGGATTTTTTGTTGCAGGCATTATGAGGCATTATGGCCCATTACTGGTGTCTGGATGCGACAAAATCAGCAGCTCTGGATTTGCTCTGTTATCTGCCGGTGACAGACAGCTGTGGTGACCCTGCAGTCTGACCGCGGTGAGCAGAGGGCTGAGCCGCCGCAGAGCTCTTTATCTGCCTGACCCCGTCCCAGCCAGTAATGGAGGGGGGGGCTGGACTCAATGAGCACAAGGAAATCTGTGTTGGTGTGGAGGGGGGTGGACATTTGGGCAGGGCTGATAAGGGGGGCCCCTCGCAGGCCGAAACTGACCCATCTTTCACCCTCTAAATGTGTTGCCGCCTCACCATTAGTCCAGTAGACACTAACTGCCTCATTAGTCAACTCATTAGTGACAGCAAACACAGATCGCTGCAGCAGATCCTGACGAAGGAAACAGTGGAGTGGCTAATTAAAGGGGGCCGGCTCTGGCCCCGCTGAATGCCAGGCCTCAGACAGCTGCGTGCGCCTGCCCCGGCACCGCCGCAGTGCCAGCCTCACCGGCTCTATGAGCGCTGAGAGATCTCGCTCTCTCAAAACAACAACCCTGGTTGCCTGGCAGCTATCAGCTGGCTCTGAATCAGCAGCCCTCTGCTTCTTATTATTTGCTGGAGCAGTTAATCTCAGGGAGCGAGGACAGAGGCAAACAGAAGACGCCTGAGCTGAAGTCAAGTGACATTTCCAGAGGTTTGGATTCCTGGCATGAAAGGCGATAAAGAAATGAAACAGAAGCTCGAGTGAGAGGCTCTGGGCTACTCGGGTGCCTAAACACGTTTCATTATAACATCTGCCAGATCTCTATTACAGCACCTGCATCATCACCGTGTTCTTCTTCTTTGCCACATGCAGTGTGACCTGTTCGTGCTTATAGCAGACATCATTGTCTGCAGACAGTTACTGATTCAGAAACACGAGGTGCATGTTTAAGTGTTTGTACTACAGGTTGCGCCACTTGATGATTCTGAGTGCCATTTACACAGACTTTCATTATTAGACATATATGGACACATCCACTGCGACCTATTTTGAATATGTAATCTTAAACACAAATTAATTTTAGCAGTTTAATCAATGCCATAAGAGCAACTTTAAAAGTTCAATCAATTTTTATTAAACATGAGTAAACATGATAAATTTATCAGGAACTACTTTTAGAGGTGGATTAATCCATATTTGATCCTGTGAGTATTTGGGGAACCGGCTGGTGTGTATGGTCAGATTGAATATGACTATAATGATTCATGAAGGAATATGTCACACGTTGGTGGCAACAGTGGCACTCTATGGCACAAAGGAACAATATTGTATACATCGGGCTTTGGTTACACTTGTACGTGGCACATTTACATCTGCCTGTTCACCACAAACTACCCGACAGACAGAAACTCTTGGGAGCACTTTGAGTGTATAGGTGAGATTCTGAGCAGCTAATGAAGCTGTGTGCCGTGTGCAGCAGAGCTGTGTGCTCTGTGCTTGATGGGGACTTGGAGATGATAAGGTGCATACACAATGCACAGATGGTGAGAGGTTTCTGTGAGAGGCTTAATAAGGGCTTGAGCAAATTTTTGCCCCGGGACACCAAACAGCTAATCGGATCAGAGCGAAACAGGAAAAACGCTGTCACTCCTGCCACAAATTTAGAAAGTACAGCCGCAATCAATCCTGGAGTTAGTTCAGAGGCAGACTCACCAGGAACAAAGCACCTCGAGGAAAGCTAAACCTGTGTCCGAAGCTCCCACCAGCACAATCCGGGTATTAATGGTGACCTTTGGCTCCATGGTCAACTTTCTGCTGATGAGGCTGAGAGCAAACGGCGCCTAAGAAAAACAAAGAGAGGAGAAGGTCTGTCATGTTTACCCCCATCTGGAGGCGACACATCACTCCCAGAACAACTGACACCATTTTCAGGAAATTAAATAAATGCAGCAAATGTACTTATCATTACATAATGACCTGTCCAATTTCTCCCATTCACAGCTCAGCAGATTTCATCAGGGCGCCTCATCAGCCTGCAAGCTTTCAGCTTTTCTCTTTATACTCTGTGACATTCAAGCGCGACTCGTGCTGAATCTTAGGCCCTAAACGTCTGCGCTGTGTGAAACTTAATGGACACGCCATCAATCATGCTTTTCATCAGTTTTCAAAAAAGTTCACAAGCGCTTGAGCAGAAACGGCTCAAAGCAAAGGGATTTTCTTGCGTAAAAGGAAAAAGGAAATTACATTAAATGCTGCAAATTTCCAACAGCATATGAACTTTTTATACATCTTTTTTCAAGGGAAGAAGAATTTCAATGAGCTGACACGCAATCTGCCAAAATATGCAGAGTCCTGCCTCCCTGCATAAGCGTATAATTACAAGTAGCATGAATAACATTTCGTGCAAAGCACATTTAATTTTAGCCAAAACGGAAAGCCCGCAGGGATGGGAAGAGATCAAATGTGTGACCTGAGAGTTAAGGAACCCTTTTCTCCAACAATCACAAAAGCGTCCCACAGGAATTGGTCGAACACGCCGTTCCAATTTCCCAATTCTCCAAGGCCAATCGTCTCTCTCGCCTCCTCTCACTGTGATCTGAGGCAGCTAATGTCGCCTTCATTTTCTATAATTAAACAGATTGGCCCCACAATGCACCTTATTGAATGAAAACAACACTGAGCAAAAAAAAAAAA